GTCAGAGAAACAGAGTGTCAGAGAAACAGAGTGTCAGAGAAACAGAGATTCATAGTAACATGTAAACCAGGTATTTACGGTACTCATCTACTCACTTGCCCAGAAGGGTCTTAAGCTCAGCAACGACGGGCTCCAGCGAGTACTTCTCGGGCATGGCGTTCCCATCAGGACGGCCCAGGTGGCTCATCAACACGACGGACTTGGCCCCGTGGTCGAGACAGTACTGGATGCTGGGAACTGCTGCCTTGATCCTGAAAGGAGGAGAGTCCAGACAAACCATCTTTAGGTTTTAAACACCACAAAGAACATGAGTTTGCCTTCATTGTATTAAGAGGAAATGCTCATTTCACCTCTGGTTGTTGGTGATGTGCTTGTCCTTCATGGGAACGTTGAAGTCGACTCTGAAAAAGAAAGGTTTTTTGTCAAAAAGCTGAAAGCCTGAAGGAGACGGACATTAGAAGTGTGAAGTGTTGGCTCCATTGTGGGTTTTACAACTGTTTGTTCATTTGGTGTTGATCTGGAAAGAACACCAGTGAGAACAAGAGTGGTTTAACTTAGCGGCAAACAAAAACAAACGTCTTAAGTTTGAGAAGCAAAATGTTCAGAGATTCTGAAACTGTGTTCAATCAAATATACACTTTTCTGTAACTTTGTGTTTGAACGTCACCTTCTGAGGAAGAGTTCTTACATTTTGGCCTCTAAATGCCTCTACGTTCATTGGCTGGCTGTTAGCGGTTTGTCAGAGACTTAAGAGCTGAAAAGGTTGGAGACCAGCTGGTGACTCAAAATTGTGGGAAAATATGCAAATTTTCAACAACAGTCTGATTTCTGAGTGTTTGTGACAAAGTCGCCAGCGTTTTTCTGCACATGGCTGACGAACATGTAAACCTGGCTGGTTGCATTATTTCATCGCCCACCGCTGCGCTCTGTGTGTCCACATGTTCATAATTTATTCTACAGTATTGCACATTTTGAAATAGACCTGGACAGATTTTCTATCAAAGGAGTGGCTTCAGAACATAACTAATGATCTTAAAACGGGTTTGAAACGCTTGTGACCGAACCCAACACGGTTCAAGACCCCTGTAACAATTCTTACTGCATTTTATCATTTTTAGAATAAAATTCAAATTGCACAATTGTTCTGAACATACTAAAAATTCAAGTGACAAGACTGCAAGCCTTTGCAACTCAAATTAGGTCAATGAACCATGTGAATGCTGTAGGACACTTTGTATGGAACACCGAAGTGCTCAAAATTAAATAAATATATAAAACATTATGAAATCGAAAAAGTTTGAATTTTTATTCTTTTATTTCATAAGTGTGTTTTTCATGATGGCTTATTTATTTCATTATGACTCATTTCAGCAGAATGACTTCAGCTGCCGATCAACATCAGCGGGTTGGACCAGCACACCCACTGGCTGATCCTTCACATCCATTAGTTTTCACTGGTACAGCTAGCGTTAATCTCGTTAAATTCAAAGAACTAAAACAGCGAGTCCTCTTCTGAGAACATAGTCCTCTCAATCTGATCTGCTCAAGTTACCTGAGCTGAACAAAGTTCATGCAGCTCTGCCATCCTTCATGACTCTTGACCTAGCAAGTTGCTGCTAGCTGCTATGCTAGCTGTACCAGTGAAAACTAATGGATGGGAAGGATCAGCCAGTGGGTGTGCTGGTCCAACCCACTGACGTTGATTGACAGCTGAAGTCATTCTGCTGAAAAGATAAGCTATCCTGAAAATCACAATTATGAAATAAAATAATAAAAATGTTCATAATAATGAGCTTAGCTACTTATTTCATAATGCTTTATTTTTTATTTAATTTTGAGCATAACTTTGAAGACTCCCTTGCAAATGCTGTTCACCAACAGTTGCATATCAGTGCAAAACATATTTTAGCAGATAAATGTGATGCGTTTACAGCTGGAAACAGCAGAACAGTGACGATGGGTTATTAGTTACTATTAATAAGAATCTGTTTTACATCTGCTTTAAAAGGGGAGCGGTAATGCAGCAAGTAGTCTATAAAAAAGGACTTCATCGACAGTAACACTACAGGTTTCTGTAATACGTGATGCAAAGTTCAGAACACATGATCAGCCATCTCACGCTCGGCTTCGGCTGCTATTATAGCCGAATGTCCACAGGCTTTTCTAAAAGTCAAAGTCAGCAAATGTCAGGAGCAACAGGCGGATCCCAAATCACAACATTCATCCGTCAAGCGTAAAATTTAGGAGGACAAAACTGCCTGGAATCAAGCTCCATTCAGTGCAGACATTTAAGGGTCAAATCATCTCGTTTTAAAATTGTTCTGAGTTGTTCAATAAAAAAGTAAAAACTGGTATCCATCCCTAACAAATATATACAAGTCTGGTTGAAATAAAACCCTCAAATGTCATTATGCTTCAGTTTAATTAGACAGAAATACTTCTTAAACGTCTACATTGCCAATAAAAGCTTGAACTTTCACTGATGCGCTGAAGATATTCTTCACGTTCATGAAGAGGTTTAATTAGAAGCCTCTGGAGAAAATCACACATGAGTAGTGTCTCGACGCTCTGCCTGCCTTCTTGTTCCAGTCTGACTCAGCCTTCCTGTACTTCATAAAACCACAAAATGTGGCAGGCTGCAACAGGCCCCGGCTTTGAAATGAAGCAACACGTTGTCCGAGTCTCCGCGCCGCTCACCGTTAGGCCTCGCCAACTCAAATTCAATTAACAGGAGGAGCATTTTGACCTTTTAACACCGAGCAAAGCTCGTCCTGATATGTCTGGCAGACCAACACGGACCTCTGACATTTCCACACACGGTGTCGGTTTCCAGTGCTCTTCTAAAGACAGACAGCCTGGTGGAAACAGAGCAATGGGGGGAAATGAATGAAACTACTCAAGTTTGTTTAGGTTGTGCTCTGACATTCAGAAAGTCCAGTTGGAGATGGTTTTCTTTAATTACAGAAAAAAGTGAATGAAGTGCCCCACCTTTAAGAAGCATCTTTTGTTCATCTGTTTGATGTTTTTAACCATTCACACTCAACCAGCTGCATCTCATTGCACAGACACAAGCACTCACGTTAGATGCAAACAAAGACAAGTATATTTATTTGGAGCAAGCAGAAACTGGGTTTACATCTCACTGGAAGCAGCTCTCGTCAGATCTTTGATTTCATCTACATCAGTTTTCATGAATTTCTAAATTCAGCTTTGAATTTTGTTTGTTGGGCACTTGCAGTGATCGTGCTCCTCTTTACAGGGACGTTTCAGTCTGACTCCAGCTGCATCCTCATCCATGCAGCATCTCTTCACAGGCACGTAACACGGATGGAAACGTGACAACTTCACTTCCTGTCCTCTCCTCACCGCTTCGAAACGACCAAGACGCATACAACCATATATATATTTTTTTAAGTATTCGCCTTCAAACTGAAAACGGTTTGCTAATAAGTGAAATATCCCGTGGGTGTAACTGGCTAGCCGGAGCCAAACGTTAGCGTTAGTTCGACCAGAAACTACCGCAGGTGACACCCACCTCATAATGACCCGCTTCCCGTTGACGTCCACCTTGTCCAGGGTGAGTTTATTAGACAGAGACATGCTGCTTGGTTCGGTTGGTGCTGTCGTGGACCTGTCCTGACTGGGTTTCCTCGAACGTTAGAGCTAGGACCGAATGTCAGCAGTGACCTTAGCGAACTAGCGCAGAGCTGAGAGATAGCTTGAGGGCGGGGCACAGTGCTGCCACAGCTTCTGATTGGCTAAGCCGAGTAGAAAACTCTCCCGTCTGATTGGACCACATTCCTGCTCGTCTTCTGACGCAATTGTTTCGTGAAGTTCGTCAAAAAAAAAAAAAGCGGAAACGGATATGAATGAATTTGAAAAGTTGCCAAAAAGTGCACGAAGTGCTGTTTTTGCTTGTTTATAGATATGTGACTGCACTTTATGCACTTTTGCACTTTATAGATATAGACTGGTGTCGCACCAGTCTGAAGATGCGATCCACTATATCTCAGGGTATTAGATTGTGGAATGATCTGGAGGTTGATATTAAAAATGCCAAAACTATGTACATATTCAAGATGATAAAAAATTGTTTTTAAAAAAAATATTAAGTATAATGTGAGTTCATAAAAATTGTTTACAGTTGATCTTATATTTTAGCTAAGTTTTTTTTTAATTATTAATTCATCTTGCCTTTGTATAGTAATTTTGTTTGGAATATATTTTGGGGACAAGGGGCAGATATAAGAACTCATTCTTCTTCTGCTGCCTTTCATTTTATTTCTGTGATTGTATATCTTTTTTCTTTTCTTTAAATTGTATTATATTTGTTGTTTGGATGAAATGAAATGAATAAATAAAACATACATACATACATACATATGTTACAGCAAAACATATTAGAACAGCCTCAATCGAAGGCCATTAAGCATAGAAGTCCGTTCACATTTTTGTACTTGTGCAATGAGGGTGAACAAGTGCTAAAAAAGCTTAAGACTGAGCTGACCTGTTGTGAATGCAGAGATGAACACGTTTTTATTAAAATGTTCATTGTCTTGACTTCACAAAGACGGACTTTGAACCCAAGCTGTCTGGGTTCTAGGTGAAAGCTTGCTTTAATGCTCCCACCCCAGGTGTTCCACACCCACTCGCTCCAGTTCGACTCATATCCGTGTCAAACCATATTAGAGGCTGTAAAGTGTAAGGTTGGACCGGAGCAGCCTAAACCTCTACTGAAGGAACCAGACTCAATACCGTGATCATCAATGGAATCTGAAAGTCTGGTGAACTACCAAGCTGAACAGCGATGTATTGGAACAAATGAAAGCTTTATAATGTACAAACAGCAGAAGGCATCAAAACATTGTATCTTGTGAGCTGCTGAAAAGCTGAGCAGCTCATTTTTAACAAGATGTGCTGAACTTCTCTTTAAGGTAAATGCGATGCAGCATTTTTGCTTGTTCAGATTTTTTTTTCCCAACAAATTTTATGCCAACTATGCATCTACAAAATGTTTTTGCTTAATACTATGAGTTTACAAACTCACACATTTAAAGCAATAATAAATCTTTTACAAAGAAACTCTTAGTAGGAAATGGTTTTATACTAAATGTTGGCAAACTTGCATACTGCACATTATAAATGTGTTTATAAAATGTGCTTAATTTGTAGGGAATCAACCCCCTCACTAGCAGATGTCTATCATATTTAGGCATTTGCTTCTTTTTTTTTTACATTTCAACTTTATTAATTCAAATTTTGAGTACAATATTTATAGCACAGCAAGATATTCCTGGTTCTAAATTATATACTGTACTGCAGTTATCCCATTAAACTTTTATATGCAGCATGTTTTTGATCCAACAATCCCCAGTATTTATCAAAAACAAACAAGTCAATAGAATCACAATTTATTTGAACAACGGATGTTTGAATAAACACAGTAATTCACTGACTGAACACACTGTTATTCATCTGTACAATCAGAAGGTTTCAGGCTCTTTACTCCTCAGCCTCCCTCCACGGTTTGGGTTGGAGCTTGTTGACTGGAGAAAGACCCCAGGTAATGCCAGATTGAGTAATCACCTGCACAAACACAAGAACATAACTTTTACAGCAACACAAAAATGTGTTCATCAGCCTTTAAAGACCAATACTCAAGTTAATATTGAAAAATTAAGCCAACAGAACGCTCAGTTTCCTCTTAATCTTGCAGCTACAAGATCAGAACGAAAAGTCAAATATAATTAAAATATTTAATATTTCCAAAAGATCTGAGCAAGTACAACTTAAATGCCATAAATAATAAATACATTTTTCATATTTATATATATATTTTTCACACAACAATGTTGCTCCTGATTTGCAGTATGAGAAACAAAGACAGCTTCAGCTGCCCTCTTGTGGTTCTTGTTAACAGCTGAGCTTCTGTCACTCAAGTGAAGTTTGTGTTGTCACGTATGCAATGAAAAACGTGACCACGTGACAAATTCAGTATGATAAAGAAAATTAACTGCACCTTTTGATTTGTAGAAAACTCAAATTTGTTCTGACTAATTCAGCTTTCTCCACATTTTTTTTCCTGCTCCCTCTGAAACCCTGCATCACGTCATACTCTTGAAAAAGCCTAAAGTGTTTTTGACTTACATAGCTCCAGATGGAGGTGCAGAAGACCACTCCGCTGATCAAAATGCCAGAGCCGTATTTGGCGTGGAATTCCCGTAGGTTAGATGATTCATGCCTCACCTGTCCCACCTGCCGCACCGCCTGCCCTGTAAAACAGAAAGAACGTCATGCAGTGACAACTTTACTCCAAAATTTACATTTTATGACTAAAAGCGGAACCTTTCAGGTCATGTTTTTAGGTCAAGATCAAATTCTAAACATTTTATAAAACTGAAAATAGCTCATATTGTGAGACAGGGATCATTCAAGCTGCAATATTAAAACTAAAGAGAAACTCTGGTGTTGGCAAAGAGTTGTAATTATTGATAGTATCTAGAACTGACACAATTAGCTAATTATTTACATAATCAACAACTATTATGACAAATATTTATACAGATATCTGTATATAGTCAAGTCAACTTTATTTATAGAGCACATTTAAAATAGAAGCTGTTACCAAAGTGCTAACATCAATAACATCAATGAGAGTAAAATTATTGTAAAATTAATGGGGGGAAAAATCACACACAATAATGACAATATAATATTAGGGTTAGGTTATTATTATTATTAATTAATATTAGGGTTATCAATTTATTCTGGTTTATACTTTTATATCACAATAGACAAAAAAACATTTAAATATGCCACTTTAGAACAAAGATAACCATTATTTCAACATCTGCAAGTAGAAAACATATATTTAGAGCCTTAGAAATTTTGGTAGATTTCAAATACTGTAAAACTTAACATTCACATTTTAGTCGAGTCACTTTTAAAATTACAAAATGACCGTTTTCTGATAAAAGCAAAACAGCAGAATATATTAAAGCTTGTTCTTTAAGTCAAATTTTATTCTGTCACCCAAGAATTTAACAGGGGAAGCTTAACCAAAACAAAACCTAGCAAACTACAAATGAGTTGTAACTTGGATCAGCAGCCAAAACTACATATCAAATCTACTTTTTTTCCAACTTTTGATTTACTTGTAGTATTTAGTTTACTTGTATCTTAACACTTTCGCTAAGGAAATTAACATTCTGGCTAATCGAGGTTGTTCAAAGATAAACACTGGTCAGTCAGTATACACAGTATAGGCACACTATTTTAACAAGTGTACCTATAAGACACCTACAATACTATGCTTCATATTTCCCCCGAAAGAAAATGCTGGACATGCAGGTACAAAAAAAAAAAAAAAAAGACTTTAAACCTAAAACGTTTGTTTTGGACGTGCTAATGCTAAATAGCTAACAGCTCGTTGAACGTGGTGAACGACCAAAAAGGCCATCGGAGCTTCAGCCGACTAAAACCGGACTGGTGCCTGGGCTATTAATGTACAAAATCCAATTAAAATCAGCATATTTACCACTGAGGATAGCAGCAGCTTTTGCGAACCGATACATGTTGGCTTGCTCAGTGTCTTCTGATACCCTTGAAGAACGGAAGTACAATATGGCCGCCGACAAGGTAGATATAAACCGGAAGCTGTGTTGCATTCGCGTTGCGTCGTTAAATAGGAGACAACCCTAAACAGGAGACAAATAAACAGGAGAAAAATAGCTTCTGGAAAACTAAAAATAGATATATGCTGGTTGCAATACTATTGCTAGTTATATAAAATATTTATATAGATAATTATTCTGAAAGACACAAAGACTGCAAGGATCGACTCACTGTACCTTTAATGCGGCATTAGTTGGCGTTTACCATGAGCATGCGCAGAAAGTCTAACCTAACATCTGGCGAATAAATGAGTAAAGCAAACAAAAAAAAAACCACATACACTATTATAAATAATATATAGAACATTACAAAAACACAATAAATAATACTATATCATAGCTGTTGTTATTTACTCTATAAATACCTCAACAACATTACATGTTTTCACCGTGTCAGGATGGCCGAGTGGTCTAAGGCGCCAGACTCAAGGATCATCTCCTTCCGTAGAAACGGGACTTCTGGTCTCCGAATGGAGGCGTGGGTTCGAATCCCACTTCTGACACATCCTTTTTTTTTTATTCTTCTTTACATGTGACAACTTAAATATGAATCTAAAATAATAATACAATTTAATGCACTGAAAAAAGCACAGTAAAATCTTGTTTAAAATCTACTTAAAGATAAAATGGCTTGCAGTCTACAAAAGCTTCATCTTTAACATTACAATTTTTTATTAAAAGCTCTGTACAGTACTAATAAAGCTTTTATTCAAATAGAGATGTACAAGTTTTCATTTTGTAGCTTTCTTTATTAAATCAAAATGTCATTTGAGGACCATAACAGTACGGCATACGGGATATTTTGCACAGAAATACAAAAAAATATATCTTTATTTCATTACAAGTTTTAATGACGACTAAAAAAAAATGACCACCTTTTTCCATCTAACTTGATAAGGCAGTTATTTCTGACAATCTGAGCTTAAAATGCTGTGATCCAGATGGGTCAGTGAAGGAGCTCCATATTCGTTTAACGTCGTTTACTCGTTTATAAAAAATGGTCAACGTGGTTATTCAGTCTAGACGGAGCTCAGCTGAGAGGGAATTTGGACTCGCAGGTTAAACGTGTAAACAAAGCATGAAGCAAATGGTTAAAAAGATCAATGAGTAATCGTTAGGTTGTCGTGGTTTAAAGGCACTTTAGTCGTGACGAGCGCTTTGAAGTGAAGCAACTTTTAGTACTTTAAAACTTTTATTGTGTTTAAAACCAAGCTTCCAACAACCACCACTAAAGTTTTTTTTTTAACCAAACGTAAACCACTGAGCAGTTTAAAACACTGACTTTAAAAAAAACACTAAATACCTTTAAAAAAGACTAACAAGCCGAGCTAACGCGTCGCCAAGCACAGAAACACCTGGATCATCAGTATATACGGAATTACAACAACAACAAAAAAAGGTCAGGAAAAATAATCTAAAATATGAAAGATGCAAATATGTCAAGATGCGTTCTTATTTATTAATGAGAATCAGAATTATTACATTTTTATATTAACATTTCTCATCAAGACTAAACATTTCTGAATGTAATGGACACAAATGACAGATTACAAAAGAAAAAAACTCAGCTCTTCTAAATAGCAATGGCTTTAATTTATGACGACTAACAACGGCTTTTATAGTTTTATTTCTTTCCTGTTAAAGAACGTTTTATTTCACTGGGTCTTTCTGCTTCAGACCGTTGTAGCTGCACATCCAGCTAAAAGTTTCTCAGGGCTTGAATAAATCTACAGATTTGTCTCCGACACATTAGCCGTTAGCTGTTAGCACGTCTGAAACACAAACCCTGTGTAATCACACGACGGGATCAGTTTGATAAAACACCTACAATAATATTTCTAGACTAAACGTCACATTTAGCTGCTAACGACCCTCAGGAGAGACAAACAAAGATACAGTTGATGTAAAACGCAGCATTGGTCCAAAATTACAAGAATGTAAGAAGGTTTTCTGCGAGGAGGCTGAAGGAACGAACATCAAGGCATCTTTTGTGTTTCCCCTCCTCGTCACGTTCCACGCTCTAGTCCGTCTTCTTGTCTTTCCCCTCGTCGTCGTCGGTGTATTCCGTCGGCTCCTCTCCCGGCTTCAGAAGCTTGCCGATGTAGTCGTACTTCACTGGAACACAGAATCACAGCACGTGGAATTAAACCGCAGCCTTTCAATTTATCTTCTATTAAAACGTCACCGTTTCTGGGCCGTTGTTTTTAAATCGAGCAGGAATTGTGCGAATGTTTACGAAGCATTTCTACTGCGATCCGTTTTTCGGTGCAATTCTCGTCTCGCGGTTTTCAAGACAGTTCAACAATCATATTTCAAAACGTTCAGCTCTTTCAGGACAATCCTGATGTGACTTTTGGTATTGATGCAACTTTAGCTTTTTGAAATATTTAGCCTTTTCAGCCATTTTTGTTTGTCTCATAAAATTTATTGAGCTCATTTTACATCCTTCAGATCTTTAGATCTGTTCACAACCTTTTACTGCTCCTTTCACATTTTGTTCTGCTTCAGCTTCTTGTGCAAATTTAAACATGTTTTCAGCTACTTTCAGCTGTTTTGTGCTCCTTTCAGATTATTTCTGCCATCTACAACATTTTTGTGCTTCGTCTAACTTCTTTTTGCTAATTTCAGCTTCTTTTGCTTCTTTTAGCTTATTTATGCAACTTTCTGCTATTTCAGCTACTATTTAGCAGTTTTAAGCTCATTTTAACTTTTTCAGCTAAGTCCACATTTTTTTGCACCAATTTAAACTTTTTTCAGCCTAATTCAGCAAAAATGTGCTCTCTCCACTTCCTTCTGGTAATTTAAGCTACTTTCTGTCTTTTAGCTACTTTTCAGCTGTTTTTTTGTTGTTGTTGATCATTTCAGCTTTTTTCTTATAATTTCCACTTTTTGTTCTCATTTCTGCTTCTTTCAGCCTAATTGGGCAAACATGTCCTTTCTGCTTTCTACTACTAATTTAAGCTTGTTCTACCTTTTTGGCATTTTATTTGCAAATTTCGGCTGTTTTCAGATAAATTCGAGTTTTTCATGGTAATTTCTGCTACTTTCAGCATCATTAACTTCTTAATGCAAATTTCAGCTGTTATGCTCCTTTCAGCTTTTTCTGCTAATTCAGCTACTATTTAGCTGTTTTTATGCTAAGTTTAACTTTTTCAGCTCATTCCACATTTTTTTTAGCTCATTTCAGCTCTTTCCGCTTCCTTCTAGTAGTTTAACCTTCTTTCTGCCTTTCAGCTACTTTTCAGTCATTCTTTTTTGCTAATTTCAGTCTTTTTTTTTTTAGCTACTTTACTAATTTTTGTGCTCATTTCAGCAAATATGTGCTCTTTCTGCTTTCTTCTGCTAATTTTGGGTTGTTCTTCCATTTCGGCAAGATTTAGCTAATTTCAGCAGTTTTTCTGCAATAAGCATTCACACTACATTTTCACAGGAAAGGCAATTTCTCTAGTTTGTATTAGGTTTATATATATTTTGTTACAAGAAATAATCAATAGTTTTGTGTGTAATGTCAAATACTTTTTTTTGTTTACAATTTTGTACCTTTAACCCAAATTTAATCAACATTTGAGAGAAATTAGAACCAACAAGAAAACCACTAAAGCTGATTGTTGCGAGTGTTTTTGAAAATTTTACTTAAACTATTTAAATTAATTAAGAGTATTGTGCAGATGTGCATCCAACGCCCACTGGTCCTTCAGCCGAAGCGTTATTTTTTAACTTCAGCTGTTTCTTTCCACCCAGTTCTAGCCCAGAACTTTTCAGAGGACAGTTTTTTTCTTCGTAAAGCCGTAACAGGGGCGTAAAAAACCTTTACAGAGGTGTAAAACTCAAATGTTCCTCACTGGTGAACTGAGTCTCCCACTCCGTCAGGCTCTCCTGATGCATGGCGTTGAGGTCCGACAGGTCGTCGTATTCGTCTTTCAGAGCATCTTTCTCCAGGCAGAAGGTCGCCAGACCCCGGGACGCGTCTCTGCCTGCGAACACTCCGTACGGTCCCTCTGTGAGAACAGGAAACAGACGAGGACACGCGTTCAGGAGTTTTAAAAACAAAAAAACAGATCTGATCAGAAAAAGGTTCTCTGGTTTGGAAAAACATAACCTGCTTCTTTTAACGCAACATGCGTATCCCTCCACCTCTGAAAATAGTCCCTATGAAACGCTTGCTAACAATTTAGGAACTCCTTACAAAAACCAACTAAATATTCAACCCCCCCCCCCCCTTTTTTAAAAAAGATTTATATCTTCCAAAGAAACTACTAAGATAATAAGTCACTGAATAATTTAAAATATTTTGACTCTACCTGAGAAGCCCCAACCTGCAAGATGGCCGCCACAGTGAAGTGTGTTCCTGTAAAGTGCCCTGAGACAACTTTGTTGTGATTTGACGCTATATAAATAAACTGAATTGAAAAAGTCGCCTTCGCCAACAGTCCGTTTCACAGATATTAAGGTAATATTTGGCGTGGTGGTAGCTGTGAGTCATCCCTAACACATACTCAGAGCACTGACAGATGGAGAGCCCAGAACATTATTTTTAGTTTTAACTAAAACGGTTACAACTTAAAATGATTTGCATGAAAGGCAGTGGGTGATATGAATTCCTTCAGTGTGCTTTATGTTTTTCCTAAACCGCCTTTTTTAATGACTAATGTAAATTTGAAGGGTTTATAAAGTTTTACTCCTAAAACAGTGTTTGTGGTTAAAACTGGGCGTTATATACCGAAAGAGTTACCTTGGGAACCAGAACTGAAGTCCAAAAATAAAAACATTTGCTCAAATGGGAATAAGAGAACTCGGTCTGTTTTAAAGAAATACAAAACTGTTAAGTTTGTAATTGGCGTTATTTTAATTTAACCAAACTGGTTTCACAAGAAGCAATAAATGCTTGCATAAAGATAAAGCACATATAATTACAGGAAATTGTTGTTAAATAATTATTTTCAGGCACAACAGTGGTCTAAGGCAACGTTTGTGACCTCGAACACAGGATATCAGACTTTGGACCCGGTCTTGTGGAACACACAGTCGACTGTGAGTAATCATGTCAGTCAGAGGTCACAATCTGGGACAAGATAAAAACGGCAAAGTGCAACTCCGTGTCTGACTGCAGGAATGCTGAACCGGTTTGACACCAAATCAAGTGAAGGATCTTTATAAGAAGCTGCTAAGAAGAAATAAAAACTGTCCATTTGCAGTTCTATTGTCACTTTTTATGTGTATTGTCCTAGAAATGTGCTCTACTTGGACTTTATTGATAACATATGAACTTTCAACACTCATTACTCATTATTATACCCATAAATGTAAATACTTGCAGTCACTTTTTGACACTGTCCCTTTGTTTCTACCGCCTGCACAATGCTGCTGGAATTGTAATTTCCCTTAAAAAATCTTAACAATAATGTCTAAACGATTACGTTTTTATAAACGGCAACAAAAAATTATTTTATTGGGAGAAATAGTTCATTAGTAATTAGTTGCTTTAGATATTTTTACTACAATAATTAGTCTATATTAACTGACATCAAATGTCACAAATTTTTTGTCTTGTTAAATCTCTCAAATACAGAAAATTATGTTATTGTCTTCACTCTATTAAAGTAGGTGTATTTTTAAAGAGCACGATTCATTGCAGATATTTTTGTTTCTTATTGAATGTGCTGGTTATTAGTTACTTAAATAATAAGCATAGTTTTTAAAACTCGAAATAATATTTGAGATAAGTTATATTATTATAATAAACCATCCAGTTTATACTAGTCATCATTAAGCCTTTGACAATTTTTTAAAATTTGCATATCTAAAAATATTGAGCTTTAAAGTTAACTTTAAAATGTTGACTTCAGAATTGTTAGAATATCCATAAAGTCTGTTATTTAGTTTGGGGTAAACAAATACAGATGGTTGACGCTGTACCGCTTTTCGCGCACTTTTAAATGGCAGCGATAGTCAAGTCTGTTTTTAACGACAGCTCATCTTCATTTGTAGACGATCTTTGGCTTCAAGGCTGCTACGGCCCCTCCGCTGTGAAAAATAGGACCCCAACTAGGAAACAAAAGGGGTGTGGCGCCAAATTCCAGCAGCAAAAAGTTGACCAAAGGGTTAAAAGATAAAAATAAAATAAAAACCATCGCACATTTATGGTTGTAGGTGACCTCAGTTTATACAACATAAATATTTCAACCTTACTCACGTCTTGCTTTTGTTATAAAACAGCTGCTAAGAGCTGAAAGTTTAGCATTGTGAGATTAACTACCTGGACCGTAGAACTTCCTGCCCCTGGTCACGTCGAACACTTTTCCGTTGACAGCCATGAGAATCCGCGAGTCCTGCAATCCATCGTAGGGCTTCAACTCTGCCAAGGTAAAATCTCTCTTTTTCAATTTAGGAAGAGGTTTTTCCACCTCGCCGAGATCCGGCGGCTTGTCCCCGCGGAAGATTTTGTAGAGCAGGAACAAACAGAGGCTGAGCAGCGTGAGGTTCAGCGGAGAAGTGAAGATCTCCTGAAAAATTCCTCCGTTAGTTACTTCGCTTCCCTCCTCCTCGGCCATGTTGTTTCTTTCTCCTACACAGACAAGACTGTGTGCATGTTGTTGATGAGAGGAATGGGTAAAAAAATCCTTCTATGCCCGGACCAATCATCTATCAGCATTTTTGTCACGTGGTAAAACTTTAAGCCAATCAAATTAAGTATCTGGAAAACTAGGCTTCAACTGGGCCCACTCGTTTTTAGTAAACTTGTCTATAACTCGGCTGGAAGAAGCGAGGAGCGGTAAAGGAGAAGTTTCTCACTGCATAATTTCTTTTGAACCTTGGTGCAGAAACAACTTTGTTTTGTTATATAAATCATATAGTCGACGTTTATCGCTCTCGCCAATAATTCTGAATAATAATAATAATAATAATGATATTTTGCTTGGAATTGAACGCAACCCCCGCCATCCTCGGCTGGCCGCCTTCTCAGCCGGGTTATAAATGGTTTGCAGACACTTTATGCTTTCGTAGCGTTATGTCCGTTTATTAAGTCGATTCACTTCTGTTACAGGAATACAAAACGTTTAGATTATTAAATTTAATATTTTGCAGACCATACAGTAACCCTGCTAAATGTGTGGAAACTTAGCATTCACATAATTATTTTGGATTTGCTAACAGTTTTTTTTTTTCCCCTCTAGTTTTCTGCTGGTTTTAAAATTTACTATTTTGTTAGTTTTGTTTTAGCTACTATTTAGCTAAATGTAGCTTTAGTTACAGTTTTGCTAATTTTAGTGTTTACCTGACATTTTGGAATTTTAACTGTTAGCTACAAGTTTGCTCATTTTAACTTTTACCTACCGGTTAGCCAAATTTGAATATTAGCTTCTGCTTTTTTATATTTTAGGTCTTTATTTTGTTGTTTTAGCTTTAAGAATTCAGTCTCAGACTCTTCGATAAATGTCAGCAGTCATTCAGCATCCACACTAGAAATATGCAGAAAATTTACTTTTTTTCAAATCACAGTTGAATGTATTTGAAAAATAACTATTTTTTTTAGCAGCAAGGTAAGAATCAATGAGTCAACAGCTGGAGAAAAAAAAAAAGAATTTTGTGATGAGACTTAAAACTTGTGCTAAAACTAGTTTACAAAGATTGTCTTTTTATGACTTTAAGCTCTGGTTCCAGTCGAGGTTTAGATTTACAGTTTACAGTGCAGACTTTTTATTTTTATATTTTGATTGTGTGTGCTCATTACTATGACTGACTGTCCTTCATCCATCCATCCATTATTTTACCCACTTCTTCCTTTCTGGGTTGCGGGGGTCACTGGTGCCCATGTCCTGCTATCATTGTGCGAGAGGCCGGTACACCCTGGACAGGTCGCAAGTCCGTCACAGGGTCACATATTCAACAAAAAAATATTCAAAATAATGCTTAAGTTTGATGTTTCATCTTTGGGTTCCGTGTTTGGCATGGAACCACACAGTCTAAACAGTGTGCTTCTTCAGCGTTGCTTTTGTGGTCATTCTGACAACTTTACACTTTGAGGACGTTTCGCTCCCTCAACGTAAAATACAAATACAACTACTTTATAAATACATTTGTATACACAAGTAAAAACAGGTGTAATGGACCAAAAGTCTAGAACTGAACGCAGAACTTGACTACCGGAAAAGGCTATGAAATTATCTGGGGCGTGTGCCTAATTGTACGCATGCGCATTACTAACTAACGGTTATGGGTTTTTTTTTTACATCCGGGTATTGTCCCTTGCATTACAGCAACTTCCTGCTCCTTGAAACTGATTCCGTTTGCTCGTTGGTTCCCACCCAAACAAACAAACAACAAACAATTAAAAAAAACCTCAGCTGTAATTTATTTCTCGTCACACCGCCTGCGGACAGCTCTGTTTAAGTAAACCGGATGGTTCGCAACAGTTCTCGGCGCTAACCGCCTTCCTCAGGACTCGAACACCGCCCGGGCTCAGCTGCAGTCCGGGCTCCTCCAGTCGCTGCGGGTCAGAGATGATGACGACAAGCGGGCATACGGTCGCATCCGTGTCCGCTTCCAGACCGTTTTAGTTGGCGAGTATCGGCACGGGTTTGTCCCGGAGGTGAGAGGGATTCGTTGAGCCGAGCTAGCTTCCAGGTGAGTTTCCCAGTTTTGAACGGTTTAAGTTAGCTAGGCTAGCTGAGACCCGAAACCCTGCTGCTGCATTTTGGCTGTGTCATGTTTACCTCTGAGCTCGCGCAGCTTTTAACCGAACATCCACTTTTATACAAGTCCTGACAAAATGACAACACTCGTAGGATGCTCTTTAAACTGTTTTAATTTGCTATAAAACTCACAAATCCCAGACATGCCACAAAACTACAATTTTTCAAAATTTCAACCATCTAGCATTTAAAAAAATACTCATTACAAACTATCCTGATCTAAATAAAATGGTGTGGTTTAAAAGAGTTTACTCAGGCAGTTTTCCGTTATGTGATTCTGGAATGCGGGTACACACTCAGTGTAAACAAAGTACTTTAATCTGCTAAATTCACTAACATACCTGAGCATAAATACGTACCAGTACTTATAAACTCTCTGTTTCAATCCCATACTGTTTTTGCTGTCATTGTTGTTGTCATTGTTGACAAATATTCAGTCACTCAGCTGTTTCTGTTGGTAAACAAACACACAGGGTAGATGGCAGCTGTTAATGACGCTTGCAAAAAATATATATGCATCACTAAAAATAAAAAAAAAGTGCAGATTTAGTAAATTTTTTTCATGATTTTCTTTTTTGACCAGTCAAAGAGTACCTTTTTAAAATAGTAGTAGTATAAATGGTAGTTTTTCAGGCAATCTGAAGGTCTTTTCAAGTTATTTTTGAACGTTAGTTGCTCTTCCACAAATTTTTCTGGACCAGTTGTTGTATCTGACAGGACAGTTGTGTGTGTATTTAAATCTGACAAGTAGAGGACAAAATAAGAAGTGTCCAGCTGGAAAAAGTAACTGACTTGTCTTAAAAGAAAAATGGAGGAAAAACAGCAAAAACCTCAAGCGGGACCTGAAAGGTGCATCATCCTTCAGTTCATCGTCTTCTGTATGATACATTTTCAGCTAACAGCTGTTTGGGATTTGTCCTGTTGGCCATAAAATACAGTTTTCATTCCATCACAGTTATTTATGTTTTTTTATGTATTCAGTTAAAGAGATGGGAACAAATGTTGTCTTTGTAACAGTCTAAACATATTGTTAAAAAACTGTTTTGTGCCAAGATGTCTGTAGTGTGGCAACACATCACTGCGTCACCCATGAATGATTCATTTGCCTGAAAATATTCAGGAACTGGACTTAAAAACAGAACAGAGTGGGGAAAGCAGCTAAAGTCCAAAGTGAAGCCCTGAAAGACATTCCGAGATGTGGAGAACTAAAAAAAGTTTTACTGCTTGGAAGGAAACCGTAACAGAGCCATGACTCAGGACTTTTGCACAGACTTGTAGCTTTTGGTGTTTGTGTTGCTTTTGTTGGAAACTATCTACAATCAGTCTTAAAACAAACTTGACTTCTTGACGTGTTGTGTGTTTTGTCTCTTATCATTATGCACACATCAGCTGCTGCTGTCTAACAATGTTTGAAGTTTTGTTGTTTTGTAACAAAATCAAGTAAAACTTCCAACAATTATCATTTTCTGCAGAAAATCCATTTGAGCGCCGAGAGCCGAAGGCTTCACTGAAGTTAAAAGAAGCTGAAACTGAGCTGGTAAAGCTAAAATGAGCTAAACTAAAGCTAAAACGATCAGTATAGATGCTCAAATGGTCAGCGCACAAGCTGAAATGAGCAAAACAAGCTAAAGTAAGCAGAACGGTGAAAAGCTAAAACAAGCAGAACATTCGCAAAAAGCTCAAATGATCCAAGCAGTGGCTAAAGGCTGAAGTTAGCAAAACTGTAGCTAAAAGCTAAAGTCCGAAAAATGGTAGAAGCTAATCAGCAAAACTACAGATAAAGGCTAAATTAGCTAACGTATAGCTAAAAACTATAATCTGCAAAACGGTAGCTAAAACCAATAAGCTAAATTAAGCTAATATAAAGCTAAAAGTAAAAATCTGCACACAGTAGCTAAAATCGAGAAAAGTATAGCAAAGTTAACAAAACTATCTAAAGGCTAAAATTTTCTAATATGTAGCTCTAAAGTGCAAAACAGTTGCTAAAAAGCTAAACTGTAAAATGGTAGCAAAATGCTAAAATCAGCTAAACAGTAGCTGAAAACTAAAATTAGGAAACGAGTAGATACACTTTAAAATACTCTTAACTAGCTAAAAGTTTAAAATCAGTAGCTTAAAGCTAAAACGAGAGAAAAACGGTTTAAGGGGGTTAGAGTGAACTCATTTTTTTGGTGTGTATTTATTTTTAGAAAAGTGTAAAAACAAAGTTATAAACGCTAAAACATGTGAGGGCACAATAAACACGATTTGAGTGATGTCATCTGTTTGTGTTCTTTTACATTCGGGGGACAGATTTAGAACCGATTTAAGTCCGATCCTTCAGGACGGCAGAGGAAGTTCAAAGCTTAGAGCTGGAAGATTCCCGTCACTAATGGATGAAAGCTTCACAGCTGGACTCTGCGTGCATACAGACTGTTTACAAGCCCTCAGTGTTCGTTCCCCTCATGATGAATGCCTGCATCTGTGTCGTCCATCTCGTCTTCCCATCATGCAGTGCGGTGACCGCACCCCCCTGCTCGTCCCGTTGGCCGACTTCTCCGCACGGCGTCGCCATGAGCGCCATGCGTGTGGACGCCAAGGTGGTGATGCTGGGGAAGGAGAGCGTAGGGAAGACGAGCCTGGTGGAGCGATACGTTCACCACCGCTTCCTGGCCGGCCCGTACCAGAACGTGAGTGTCAGCTGGTCCGCGTCCACGTCAGACCCCTGACTGAGCTTTAGTCATTTTGTGGTGGCTAATGTGGATTAGCCTGTGCTTTGCTGAACTGCGAGTACTTATACACAACAATATATAAAAAGTACATGCAGGTTATTGCGTTACAGGATTTAGAGACGTAAAGTGACGCTGTAGAGATTTCAAGGACAAGTTTACCTTTTTCTACTGGCCTGGATTAACAATCTTGAAATAAATTAGAGGTGTTTTAACAATCGCACAGCTTGTTCTTGTAAATGTTTCACATTGAAGCCTGGAAGCTCTCGGGCTGTTTGACTTCTCTCCACGCGTTCATGGTTTGCTTTGCATAATTTATAAACTTTTTTATTTATTTTGCATTTCAAACTCGAACCAGACGGACACAAAAGATTACTGACAAAGTTAGCTGAGCGTAGACTGATAATTGTTACAACTTTGTAATTTCCAGCCAGTAAAAGACATCATTAGATACATTTAAAGCTTTAAAATCTATTTTTATTTGAAAATGTTAACAAAATCAACTTGATTCCAGCTCGTTGGCCTGATGATCTCAGCGCACACGCTGTCTCGATTCCTGTTTACGCTCATTTAGTTCAGGCTGTGTGAGAGTTCAGACGTAGAGGATCGTTTTCATGTCTTGGTGTCTGATATCCTAAACTTGTTTTTATTTTCCTCCAACAGACAATCGGCGCTGCTTTTGTTGCCAAACCAATCCAGGTGGGAGAGAAAGTGATTACCCTGGGAATCTGGGTGAGTGAGAAGCTGTCGGAGCTACTTTATTGTTTCCAAGCACAGATTTAGGAGCAGAACAAGTTGTGCATTCATGTCAGGAGTAACGAGGTTTATTCTTAAAGGTTTTAATGAATCAGTTCATTAAAGGCTGAGGGGTTCAAAACCAGTTTAGTGCAGAGTGACCGCACAAACCCACGAACCGTTCAGGACGAAAAACACGTCACGAGAGATTTGCTGTTACAGTCCAGAGTGACGCTGAGCGCTGAATGATTTTGCTAAAGTTTACTGAAGAAGCTGAAACTAAGCTGTTAAAGCTTAAAGAAGAACAAAAAGTTAGCTAATGGCTAAAATAGCCAAAGGGTAGCTTGAACCTAAAAGAAACATAACACACTAAAAGTTGGAAGCAGCAAATCGCTAGCTTAAAGTAGCAAAAGAGCAGCTAGAAAATTAAAGTAACTAAACCCGTGTTAAAAGTTTTTTAAAAAGTAGCAAAATGGTGACTAAAAGTAGCAAAAGGCAAGCTAAAACCTAAAGTTGCAAATGAGTAGCTTTAAGCTAAAAGTAAAAATAGGCCATCAGAAAAGTAAAAGTAGCAAAAGGTTAGCTTGCAGCTAAAAGCACAAAAGGTGCAGAAGTAGCTAAATTACACAAACTGGTCAGAAAGTTAAAAGCACACGATGGCGTGAACAGAAAACGGCAAAGAACCAACTTTAAACTGGATTTAAAATCATTTTTATAAAGCTTATTTCAGTAGACCTGTTTACAGACACTACTGTGTTAAAATCAGGTTCCACGCCTCGAATACATGAATAGAGACTTCTGGGTAACAACAAGGTCGGCGTTCAGCTTTAGTCTTCTGGTCCTTCACACGTTGCTTTTTATTGACTTTTATGTACAAACATGTTGAAATGAGTTTTATCGACATTTTACGCTGTGAGAGCGGAACGTCCTCAACGTGCCATGAGTCCGGGTGTTGGAACGACTGCAGAGCACCGCTGAATCAGACATGGACAGTTTAGACTAAGAGTGTTTCAACAAACCTGAAGTAGACATGAATTACTCTGGACCACAATGCATTACAAAATACTCACACTGAGCATTAGTATCTGTTAAAAAAAAAAAAAAAAAAAAAAAAGGGAGTACCACTTTACAGTAAGGCTCCCTTTATAGATGACTAATAAATGGTTTATAGATACGTTATTAATTCCTCCATAAACACTTTATAAATCATTAATAACTGCTTATTATGCATTAATTAAGGGCAAGAAAGAGACAAAACTGAGCAGTTTCTTGTCAAATGGTGAGCCAAATCTGTTCACCTAAATATTTCATCTAGAGTTGTTATTTTAAACATTTCAGATTTAAGTTACTACCTTGTAAGCACAATAAGTATTTGTAAACCTAATTTTTTAGGATATAATAGTTGTAGATACTTATAATGCAGTGATAAAATACAATATTATATGTTTAAAGAAATAGGTTTACAAATGCTTATTGTGCTAACAAGGTGGTAACTTAAATCTGAAATGTTTAATATAACAACTCTAGATGAAATATATAGGCAAACAGATTTGGATCATTATTTAGCAACAAACTGCTCAGTTTTGTCTGCCATCCTTAATTAATGCATAATAAGCAGTTATTAATGATTTATAACGTGTTTATAGAGGAATTAATAACGTTTCTATAAACTATTTATTGTAAAGTGGTACCAAAAAAGTAAATTAAATTTTTCTTTTCTTTAGATAAACGTTCATAAACTGAACGACAGACAGAAAATTGTGTTTTAACACCAACTAAAACATTCTTAGTGACTTTTTACAGCCTGTAGGCCTGAACTCCAACACAAAGTACTGTAGATCTGCCAGGGGCAGCAATCTTTAAAAGCTGTTCAAGACACAGACTGGATGTCTGAAGTGAATTAGCCCTCAGCATTGTCATGCACTGATCAAACGGCATTTTGAGATTTCAAGTGTCTCATTTAACTGAAGGCAGTGTAATACCTGCATCTTCATTGATGGGACTGAAAAACCCTCGTCTCCTGTAGACGAGCACAGAAATTACAGCTAGGATTGTGTTCCATTATCGGGATAAACGGTAAGCACAAATCTAACTTCTAACAGGAAGTAGATATTATGTCTCCTTTCGTCTTATGTTTATGTTGAACCTCTTGTTCAGGACACAGCTGGATCAGAGCGCTACGAAGCCATGAGTCGAATCTACTACAGAGGAGCTCGAGCCGCCATCGTCTGCTACGGTAAATTACAGCTGTTTTTATGCGTGAAGAGCTGAGAGCTTCTGGATGCATTTACTAACAAACAACTCGACTGCAAACAGGACTGAGAGAACAACAGAGGGCTGAGGTTTTCTTGCTGTAACGCATGTGGTTTTATTCAGGGGAGGCTGTGAAATGGTCGGTTGAACAACTGGCATCACATATTCATTCATTTCCTCTTGCAGTTGTTGTTTTCCGTAACAGTCCTCGGATGAAGATAAAATGTGCCACAAATATTCTTCTCACTGTTATCTCAGCGTTTTGTTGCTCTGAGAGGAAAAAATATAAATCCAGAACTGTTTAGACACGCAAGCCTTCCCAAACCCCAACACTCTTGAAACTCCAGTTAAAATGTAAGCAGCTTTTAGAGCAAACATGGTTCTTATGTTGGCATGTAGCAGGTTAAAAATCTTTATGCATTTTATTTTATATATATATATATTATAGTACTCAAGAAAATATTGTACAGTTACTTGTCTTTCTTGAAGAGCATAACATCCTGAAGGTTTTCCAATCCAGTTTTAAAACTCCACAGTATTGAATGGGCTCTTTTGAAAGTTTTTAAGGACATCCTTTTAGCTACTTACTTCGGTGACTGTGTCCTCCTTGTGCTTTTAGATCTAGCAGCTGCTTTTGACACTGTGGACCATGACTTTCTGCTAACTCGTCTGGAGCAGTAGGTGGGAATCAGGGGTGTTGCTTTAAAATGGTTCAGGTCTTATTTGACAAACCGAACGTTCTCTGTTGGTCTTAAGGAGTCCATATCCTCCTTTTCTCTGCTTTTTTTTTGTGTGGAGTCCCTCAAGGCTTAGTTTTAGGCCCACTTTTGTTTTCCCTCTATCTGCTCCCTCTTGGTTCCACATTTTCAAAACATGGCGTTTCATTTCATTGTTGCGCAGATGACAGATTTATATTCCTCTTAATAAGTTAAATGCTTTTTTCCATTTGTAGATGAACATATGCTGTGATATATTCATAAATTAAACGGATTTTTTCATTTTTCTGGACTGAATAATGTCGTGCATTGAATTTGATAAAATGTGAGACGTTAATTTTCTTTGACCCATCAAAATGAATGCGGTCATTTATTTACAGAATCAAAGTTTAACATCACACATTTACATTAATTTGGCAAAATTGGAAAATAACAACATGGCTTAGTTAGCAAGTTTTACGAACAGGAAAACCATCCGGCCATGATTTCCCTTTGCTTCACAACAGACATTTCTGAAAATATCTGGAATGATTTCTAGCAAAAAGAAGAGTTTTAAAGATGGAAAATGAGGTTTATCTTGAGAGAGATGGGTGAGGGAATTTGTCTGTTATAACCAGAACAACACGCTCCTTCTGGGCCCAGCTTCCCAACGGTACACTTTGGTTGAGATCGACTCTTTACCTTGCAGATGATAGTTTCAGCGTTGGTGTAGAGCTTTCCTTTCAACTCTTCCAGCGTCTCCGTAAGAACAGCTAAACCTCAGGAGTCGTGAGATCGTCCTAGAACAGACTTCTTCATAATTCCTCTGAACTTCTCTTGTCCAGCTTAGTCGCAGATGTCCTGAGCATTCTGGACTCTGCTGCTCTCGGAACCAACTCACAGCATTCTCTCAGCGTTCTCCTCAGTTCTTCCCAGAACTGCTGAGAACTTCTCAGAACTTCAGAACTTCCTCCAGCTTCCTGAATTCCAGCATTCTGAACTCTGGAACTGCTATGAACTAGGAAGTGTTGCACCTTTTAAAAGAGGTCACTTCCGGTTCATTTGAGCACTTTCTGATTGGTCGGTGGACCAAAACAGAGGTGTGTTTTGTGATGTAAGAGGTTATTAAAAGTCAAGGAAAAAGATTAAGATTGTTTAAGAACAGACAGAAGATATTATGAAGAACTCAGACTTCGTGGAGTCAATCCTCTAGTATCTTGCTGTAAAAGTTAAACATGACATTTCTTTTTCAGTAAACTTGCAGTTGACCGAAACTTGACCTTTGACCAACTTACACAACTTGTTCATTGAAGACAGAAAATCAGACAATGCATCATTAACCTGATTTCTACTTTGAATGAGGATTAAAATCACTAATACTGTTTCACAGTTGATTTAAAAATGAGTAGTTCACTTCAACATTTAAAAATGGTTTGAACTAAACACAATTTGATTATCAAAACATTTGTAAAATAGTAATGATAATAGAAAAAGAGAGTGTTCTTTCAATTGATCAGTGCAGGACACTTAGAAAGTCTCTGGATGAGCTTAATCCTGTGTTTCTGGACTCAAATCAATGAAATACAGTTCTTGTTCCAGGCAGGCCCCTCAAGGCCAGGATTTGACCTCAGGCCTAGTTCACTACACATTCAACCTTTATTTATGCATATTCAGTCGATACGCTTCTTATATGTGTTGAGGACATGAACGCCTGGATGGCACTTAATGTAACTTTTTGAGTTTTAACGAAACCAAGACAGGTGATTTGAAGGTACTGCTGGACCGTCCCCTGTAGATCTAGGATCCTTGACAGAGTACAGCAAATTGACCGTGATGAATCTGGAAGTTGAATTGGATCCTGAACTTAAATTAGACATCCAGATCAGGTCAGGTCAGACTGACTCGGTTTATAAACTTGAAACTTTGTGTGTTACAAAGCAACAGGACGACTAACTCAATCGTTCTCTTCTTTAACTTCCACTTTTTTTTCCTGCGTTTATTTCGGTTTTACTGTACGTAACAATTCATATCGTGTTATGTGACGTCCGTGCACGCTGGAGTTTACGGTTTCTAGCGACTAAACGTGGTTGTGTTTTGGAATGCCAGATCTGACTGACAGCAGCAGCTTCCAGAGAGCCAAGTTCTGGGTGAAAGAGCTGCAAAACTGCGAGGAGGTAAAACTGTTTCTGCACGCAAGTTAAATACGTGACGGAAAAAAAAATGTATTTTTCGTAGTTTAGTTAAAATAAGGTCATCTGTTATTTGAGATTTTCTACATTCGTGCGCTAAATTTAAATTTAAACCAAGAAATAACTACAAGTATGATCACGATGTGAGCGGATGTCACAAGATACTGATAAATTTAAAGGTTTACCACGTAGCTTTGGACGTTTACTTTTAATATAGTTAGATTACGTTCATGTAGGGAACTTGATAGTGTTTTGTTCTGCAGCTCTGTAAGATCTATCTGTGTGGAACAAAGACGGACTTGATCGGAGGAGACCGAAGTCTGCGTCAGATCGACTACCACGATGCACAGGACTTCGCTGAAGGTGATCTGAGCTCATCTGACTATAAACTGTTAACCAGCTGTTTCCAGACAGTTCGGTTTAGTTTTCTGTAGGACAGGAGTCCTAACTCTGGTCATTATTCACCTAAATGTGATAGTTAACCATCATTCTTTAGAGCAACTACAGTTTGTGTGTGGATTGTTTGAATTTACAAGTTGCAATTGTACATCAGCATGTGATTGGTTAATTTTCCTGTCAGTTCTTAAACAAACTCATCCTGGAGGGACTTTGTTTGAGCCCAGCCTTTAACACAGTGACGTCAACGAGGAAGAACTTTAAACACGTTTCTGCCTGGAGACACACATTTAAAAGAATCTGATTGGATAACTGTGTTTTCATGCATTTAAACTGCATTAAATATTTAATTTGTACAAAATAAATATAAAATTAAATATTTAAATGTAGTGTTTCATATGTGCTGAATTCTTAGGCCTTCTCTGAAGGCGTTGAAGGCCCTGAGGGTTCCCCACTGCTAATATAACATTTAGAGCTTTTTATTAGATAGTTTGTTGTGGTTTTCAAATATAGTTAAATAAACAAAACTTCTGTCTTTTCACATACGATCATAACTGATTAAATATTGTTTTTGGTTATTTTCAGAGATCGGAGCGCAGCATTTTGAAACCTCCAGTAAAACGGGAAACAATGTTGGTAAGTTCCACTGAATCGAACAACAGCCTAGACTGTATCGCCTTTGGGCGACAAAAATACTTTACTTAATTGAGATGGTTAGAAACCCTTTAAAACGTTCCCACTGAGTTAAAAGTGAAAACTAAACCTTAATTTATTGGTGCGTTAATCTGTGACTTGGTGCAGCATTTCTCTGCTTTAAGCTGCGAGTGGAGTTGAGACACAGATTCTACGTTTTACCGCAAACAGGAAGCAGAAAGATGAAGAAAGAGGATGACTGCTGAAGATGTCAGCTATCCATCATTGTGACAGTTTGACCAACAAGTCGAGAACAAAGAGAGGCGTTTAGCTTGAAAATGTCCTCGTCGTGGTAAAGATCGTCGCAGCAAACGAGCTTCGGCGCATAAACGGTGAAAGTGCAGCTGGTCTCTGCGTGGCCAAAACAAGCTGCTGCGATTGTTCTTTTATACGCTTGTCCTAAGATGGGACGCATCATGGCATGGTTTTGTCCATTTGTCTCTCTGTGGACGATTTCTTGTCCCAGCTCTAAATTAATAACTCTGTTCGTCTCAAAGTTTTCACCAGGATATTTTTGCCCCCTTTTTTTTTTTTACTGTAAAAAGGCCATTAAACGTCCTGAGAGTAAATATTTTCCCACATTTTTGTAATAATTGGAACTTTCAATATCTAACAGTTTTATTTTTACAATGTACAGTCCCTTAAAAGAGTGTCGTATTATTATAGATTAAAAAAATGGAACATCACAGATGCTTAGGATATGAAAGGTCGTCAGACTTTGACTCCACATTGGATGTTATTTGTATTAAATTAGATCGGCTAGTAGTCACATTGGATGTTATTTGTATTAAATTGGATCGGCTGGTAGTCATCAACAGGTAAGTTCTTCACGTTCAGCTGCAGCTTCGTATTTCTCCATTTTCTTTAATTGAACATCTGTTTACATCATGGATGTCATTATCAGTGAAACTGACCTTTGACCCCTCCACTGTCTTCTATACATTTAATAGTCACCTTTATTCAGGATTCTTGTGTGAAGGAGTTCATGCTTTGGGTTTTGATTACTCTGACTACTTACCAACATGTGTATTAAGTACCGTATGTGGTATTCTTGCTGTAATCCGCACATACAGATTAGGATTGAACTGTTGGGTCTGGACTAACATGAACTGACGGAAGCTGACAGGTTTTATTCTCCTCTCTTCCAGATGAGCTGTTCCAGAAAGTTGCTGAGGATTACAACGACGGTGCTTTCCAGTACATGACGGGTGAGCTTCCCGTTCTTTTTGTAGGAACACAATTTGTGATTCTAGAGAGAAGTTGGAGTTAATAGTGTGAATGTTTATGAGGCGTTCACACTATTGTGATCCATTTTTCTTCCGTACGTTTTTCGGCGCATTTCTTGTCCTGCAAGTTATTTCAACAAATCATTAGTCAAAATGTTCAGCTCTTTCAGCAGAACGGTGCTATGACTTTTGTTTTTGGTGCAACTTTAGCTTTTTGAAATATTAAGCCTTTTGTAAAAAAAAATTCTAACAGAAAATGAATTGAGCTCATTTTTACATCTTTAAAATCTTTACATCTGTTTACAACCTTTTACTGCTCCTTTCACATTTTGTCCTGCTTCAGCTTCTTTCAGCTTCCTTCTGCAAATTTAAACTTTTTTCCAGCAAATTTCAGCTGTTTTGTGCTCCTTTCATATTCTTTCTGCTAACTACAACATTTTTGTGCTTCCTCTAACTTCTTCCTCCTCATTTCAGCTTGTTAAGCTCCTTTCAATTTATTTCTGCAAGTTTCAGCCTTTTCTGCTATTTCAGTTACTATTTTGCTGTTCTGATGCTAGTTTAAGCTTTTTCAGCGTTTTCCACATTTATTTGTACTCATTTCAAATTTTTTTTAGCCTAATTCAGCAAAACTTCATTCTGGTAATTTGAGCTTCTTTATACTTTATTTTAGCTACCAATACTTTTCAGCTGCTTTTTCCTAATTTCAGCTTTTTTCAGATAATTTCTACTTCAGCCTAATTGGGCAAACATGTTCTTTCTGCTTTCTTATGCTACTTTAAGCTTGTTCTAGTTTGTCAGCTACCTTTTCAGAAAATGTTTTGCTAATTTCAGCTGTTTTCAGATAAATTGAAGTTTTTCTTGGTAATTTCTGCTACTTTCAGCCCAATTAACTTCTTTCTGCTAATTTCAGCTTATTATGCTCCTTCCTAGCTTTTTCTGCTATTTCGGCTACTATTTAGCTGTTTTATGCAAATTTTAGGTTTTTCATCCAATTCCACACTTTTTAGCTCATTTCAGCTCTTTCCACTTCCTTTTTGTAGATTAAGCTTTTTTTCTGCCTTTTTGGCTACCTTTTAGATTTTAGTGCTAATTTTAACTTTTTTTAGCTGATTTCCTGATTTTTGTGCTCATTTCTGCTTATTTAAACTTAATTCAGCAAATATATGTTCCTTCTGCTTATTTAGGCTTGCTCTTTCATTTCAGCTACATTTCAGCAAGTTATTCTGCAATAAGCATTCACACTGCATTTTCACAGGAAATGCAATTTCTCTAGTTTTTCATTTTAGCTCGTTAACTCGCAGCTATTTGAACCGGACACTAAACTGAAGAGCTGGATAATCGGGGGTGTAACGTGGGATTCCTGCTCTGTTAATTTCACCATCAGCCGACGTCCATCCAGAGGAAATGATCACTTGTTTTTGTTTCACCAGAGGAGCCGGGCGTCGACTTGGGCCAGAAGAAAGACTCGATCTTCTACAGCTGCTGCCACAACAACTGACCGAGCAACAGGAGGAAGGAAAACAGACGTCGCGCCTCCTCTGGAGTCGAGCCTGGATGTGCTGCGATGACTTCATATCCAAACAACAGAAGGCGACCAACCGGAGCGGTCTGCAACTCCATGTTTATTTACGTTGTGCCATAAAGAACTGAGAGCTGCAGGATTTTAGAGGAAGACGTGCCGCTCTGAAACTGATGCCAAGTGTTGAGGGATTTAAAGACTTCACCCTCGCGTTTTAGTTCAGTGTCAAATGATGGTTTCTCAGTAGCTCGCAGGGAGAAAACTAAAGCTACAGTTCTGGACAATCGGGCTGGGGTTAGAATCACCACTGACGAAGACGGCGAAGCAGTGCTGGAACTCACTGGAGGAGGAGGAAAACTTCACGAAGGCAGTTCAGAGTTTCAGGACGACGAATCGTGTTTACAGCTTTTAATTTACCTCCCGTTGTTTTCACGTGTATTTAAAGTAAGCCGGTGGGATTTCTAGTCATCGAAAACCAAAACGCTCGAATTTTAACTCAAAGTCCTGCTTTTGAACCACGTTCACATCAGGTGTAATAAACGGTACAAGCTTCAGAGGCTTTGAGTCGACGTACGAATGGTGATGCTCCTTGGTGTGTTTTTTTTCCACTTCGACACTTATGGATGTATTAAAAGGCTGAAACACGACTCAGCCCAGAGGCCATGTATACAAAGTTTCTGCAGACAGAGTCCATTACAGGTGCAGGTCAGTTTGTTGGTACTCTTTCACTATGAATAAAAAAAAAAACGACAATGGATGTGACTGGAGCCAAAAAGCTCCAGTTTTGTCTCCTCAGTCCCAGAAACTGGTTCTTGTGAACGACCACTTTGGTTCATTTCAGTCTGGCTTTTTTATTTTTTTAAATTTCTGCTCATATTGAAACCCATTAAGATTTAAAATGTGATGTACCTTGACCTTAGAGTTCAGCTTGAATGGTTTCCATGCCGGTTTTTCTGCCATTCGCACCATCCATCTAATCAACATGGGGTCGCATTGTATCTTGCATCCACATCTTGGGAGGTTGGCTACAGTCCCTTGAACCTCATACATTTTAATAATCTTGTCGGCTGTGGGCAGACGAACATGGAGCTCCTTGTAGATGGTCTTGTAGCCTTTAGCTTTAGCATGGATATCTATAATCTTCTTTCGGAGCTCGACCACAGGCTGATCTCACCTTTACTTCCTCCGCTCCACGTTCGGTGTGGTCACACAACAATACTAAACTACACATTGGAACGCTTGATAACCCCTAAGATCAATCAGAAACACGACTATAAATCAAAGATTAATCCTCTCTTTGAGGACTCCTCCCAACAATTCTGTCCAGTTGGTTCTAAAAAATAATTTTTCACTTTTTTTTTATTTTCTAGTTTTTTGCTGAATCACTTTAGATGAGAAACGAGGCTTCGCTTCATTTTGGTAGAAGGGTACCAACAAGTTTAGCGACGTCTGTATTTTGTTGATTGATCTGAGTGAGATAAAGTACATTTTGTTGTAGTTAAGTTATAAAACACGAACGAATGCTTTACGTGCCGGACTTCATCTCGGTTTAAACACTAATGCACACGCAGCAGCACAACCAAGGGTTTTAGGTACGTTTGTAATGGCAGTTCATATTGTCACACTTCCTCCACATAAGCTATGATTCTGGGAAAAGTTGGAAGGACTCGTATCGCATGACCCAATCTGTCTGAAATAAAACGTTTAATTTTCTGTCAGATGTCTATACACACTAATCCTTTAAGAATACTGTCGTTCTTTTACCCCCAAAGTAATCGACTGTACAGGATTAAAGTTCTCGTCCAGTTTGGTGAGCAAACATGAGATTTCAACACACGACGCAAAGCATTGTGGGTAAATGTAACATACACAATGTCTAATTTATTGCCTTTTAGGTTTTGCTGCAAGCCTGACATGAGGGGACATAAGCGGACATTTTCCTTTGTTTGGACACGTCTCTTGAACCATATTTTTATTTGAAGGCTGTTACAAACATGTTCTCAAAAAATGTTCTGGAAAATAAATTTTTTCAAAGAATTAAGCGCCAGTACGTCTGAGGTTTTATTTATATTTGCAGTATTTTTGCTTTGTTGATGCCATTTATTGCCCACAGCAACGAAAGGAGTTTGTTTGTTAGCAAAATATATTTAGAACCAGTGGACATATTTTAATAAGACTTTAACAGAATGATCATTGAATCTATAGATTCTTTTAGAGGCAATTCAATTTAAGATGGCCTCTGCAAACAAATGATATTAACGCCAAGACTAATTCAGTTTTATAGATATTGAGCTAACATTTAATCTGGTAATAGCCGAGAGTCATCCCCAACGCATAGTCTTATCGGGTGCCGTTTGTAAAGTTACACAGTCAAAAATTAACAGCAGTATTTTTGGTTTATTTAGCTTTTCATAAGAAAAAAAAAGTTTTATTCAAAGTCATATTTTCACCATGTTATTAATACATTTACAAATGTCATAGTTCCAAACTACAAATTTAGTTCATTTATGTCTAAGCAAAATGTTTAATTTACAAACGAAATATTTAACTTGCAACAAATTAAATATTTATTTTAGAAATTTAATGTTTAGCTTGGAAAATAAATATTTAGGTCTGAGCTAAATATTTAGCAAATTAAATATTTAGGAATTAAATATTTTAGGGGTGCACCGATTGCAGTTTTCTGGCCGATCACCGATTTCTAAAAAGTCTGACCTGCCGATACCGATTTCGTTTTATAAGCGACACAGTCAGGTGTTATAAGGTTGCAATGCACCATCAATTTTCCATTATTGTTTTGTTGAAAAATATACCCTTGAACAATATCTTAGAAACAATAACATTTGTTTTAACTGGCCATGAGGTAGTGCTCTGAAATATAAATGAAGTTTAGACAATTGTTGTTAAAACTAAAAAAATGGGTAAAATCGGTTTCTCATTCAAGTATCGGCCGATTTCCCAAAATTAAGGAAATCTGTGCACCCCTAAAATGTTTTGCATAGAAATTAGATGTTTAGTCTAGCTATTTAGCCATTTATATTTAGCTTGTACAATAAACATTTAGTTTGGAAATTAAATGTTTGGTTTTGAAAATAAATATTTAGCTTGGAAATTAAACATTTAATTTACACCTAAATATTTAGTTCACAAACTAAATATTTAGTTTACGAACTAAATATTTAACTTGCAAGTTAAATATTTAGTTTGTAAACATTTATCTTGGACATAAACATTTAGTTTGTAAACTAAATATTTAGTATGGAGCTAAATATTTAGCTTGCTAACAAAATATTTAACTTGCAAGTTAAATATTTAGTTTGTAAACTAAATATTTAGCTTGTAAATTAAATGTTTAGCTTGGAACTGTGACATTTATAAATGTATGAATGACATGGTGAAAATATGACTTTGAAAAAAAAAAACTTTTTTCTTATTAAAGTTATAAACCAAAATATTGCTGTTAATCTTTGACTGTGTAACTTTACAAACGGCACCCCATGTAGTCTGAGCACTCGCAGATCAGACAAGATCTTTGTTTGAAACTGGTGTGCAAGCTGGCAGGCGATGCATCCTTTAAAACAATGTTTATAAATCTGTAATTAGCAAAAGTGTGGCTAAATGCTATAACTTAAAGCTACAATTTGCTAAATCATAGTAAGAAACAAAAAATGTACCAAACCATAAATGGGAAAATGGTAGCTAAAACTAGCATCACCATAATTTAGCTAAAACTAGCAAAACTGCAAATAAAGGCTAAAATAAGCAAAACTATGCCTAAAACCTACAAGTAAAAGAATACGTCTAAAAGTTAAAATAATACAAAACTAGCTCAAATTAGTAGCTAAAAGTAGCATTAGCTGAAAAAAGAGCAAGTCTGCTGAAGTAGATTTAGAGGAACAAAGTTTTTTAAAGAATTGAATGATGTATTTCTGAGAAATTAAAAGTTTTTACCTTTAATTTTAAAGGCTCATCCTGTATATTTCTTTACAGCCGGGGTGTCCAGACATTTTCGCATGTGGGTCAAAACTATAGAGATGAAAGGACTCGTGGGCCATAAAAATGTGAATTTAACGCTCAACGTGAACAATATTTTGAAGGACAAAAGTTCACTCATTTTGGTGCAGGAGTTTTAAATTGTTGTAGATCCAAAACATTAAAAGCCTTGTCAACACTAAGCTTCTATTTTTTTTATTACAAAGGATTTGATTTATTTGCTTTGTTGGGTCTATGTTTGTTTTCTTGTGTTTGGAAAGTTCATTTTAGTCTGTTCTCAGCAACAAAAGTGTAATTTGAGTAAGTGTCCTTTTAAAAGGGGGTCAGACATTTGGACCGTGGACGACCCAAAAGGCTGAATGAAGTTCTGAAAAATCGTCCAACTGTCTGTCAATACAACAAATTCATAGGTTTGATAAAGTTGATCAACTCGTATGTAATGATACCACGTTATATTAATTTTAAAATGTCCAATTTCCCTTTTATCAACCAATATTTAGCCAAATTTTATGAATCATTATCCAAAAGTCTCCTTTCTGGTAGAAATCAGTAAATGTTTGTGGTGTTTTGTACCGTGAAGTGAAAATAAAAATATTATAGCCAAAGGTTTGCATTTTGTTGCTCATTTTGAGATTGTTTTTCATCCGTTTTGCTGTTAAAACCTTAACATTATATAAAAAAAAAGGATTAACAACTAATTTGCAGAACGTCTGCATCGACCTCTTAAGCCTGCTGGACAAAATGACACCATTCTTAAACTGCAGCTGTGGGCCGCAAAAATAACTCCAAGGGCCGCAAATGGCCCTCGGGCCACACTTTGGATACCGTGCTTTATGGAGTCTTAAGGTAGTTAACTGTACGTCTATCAAAAAAACGATGCCAGAGCAAAGAGATGACTTCATAATTTTCATTTTTATATATTTCTGTAGCAGTCATTGTGACAGGTCAGCTGCTCTAACAGCTCATAGTTACACTGGAATGAAACATCACGTGATGGGGGGGGGGGGGGGGGTACTGTAGAAAAAGGCATTTGTAAGGAAATGTGGCTCTCACAGACACAAAACCCGCATTCCTTAAAAACATCTCCGACCAAATACAGTCTAAGGCGTTTGAAGCAAACACACACACACGTTAAGCTTGAAGACGGAGTGAAACGGGAACACGCACTGAAGTGCAAGCAGGAGTCCGCTGGTTCGAGCCTCAGAGAGGAGGGAGCTTCGACGCTTCGGATCTCCCTCGTCTTCATTTGTGCGTCACAGAACAGCGTTTAAATAACGACTATAAAGCACCACGTACACGCCGGAGCTACTGCCTCCAGACCACCGTTCAGAGGACTCGCCTCAACCTGACCCAGAAATGAAAATGTTTTACATTTTTGCACCAATGAGTCAAATATCTTTTTTTTTTTTTTTTTTTGGCATTAAATGGTCTTTCGGATGAAATTAAAACAAAGCGTGAGGAAAAAAAAGTAGTGGCTTATACACCGGCAATTACGGTATTTTACCTTCATTCATGTTAGTTTTTTTAAAAATCTGAGCCAACAATAAAATAAAATGAATTAAAACCAGCTCAGCCCTGTGATGGACTGGAGACCTGTCCAGGGTGTCCCCCGTCTCTCGCACAGTGACTGCTGGACATGGGCACCAGAAAAAAGATGATGGACGGATGAAAACCAGCTCAGTTCTGACCATCACAAGCCGGCATATTTCTACTGGTAATCCCAAAGCGCCGACTGTGGATTTGAAACCAGATCGATTTCATGGAAGTAACGCCTCCCGGGTTTGGCGGCAGGGTTGTCCAGTGGTTTCACAAACAAGTCCACGAGGACGAGCTTAAGACCGGAGGAAACGAGACGTTCAAGAGGAAACTCCAACAGACGGACGAGTTCAAGTTTCTTTTCTTCGAAGAGTCCAAGCGGAGGTGAAACGTAACGGAAAAATTGAGACGAGGTCGTCTCGTCTCCCGTTTCTTTCTTTCTTCTTCTTTTTTTTTTTAATAGACTAAATCATGTTTCAAAGTTTCAGCAGATCTGCCATGTTTTAAACCAAATAATCAAAATAAAAAATAAAAAAAGCAGCAGGTAAATTCATCAGATGCGTTCAGGTGTACAAATGAGGTAAACGAGTCATCGTTAGGACAAAATGACGAGAACATAAATAAACGGTGAAAATGATCGATATATTTCAACTTGTTTATATAAATTTATATTATTTATGTGTCAGTGTCTTTATTTATAAGCGTCACAATTTATTTACGTTTAGGTGATTTGATTTTTCTCCTACAAACCGTTGAATAAATCCAGATGATTACTGACATTAATTAATTTATAAGTGCTACTTGACTGTAGTGACTCGGAGGTGTCGTAAAGATCACTCCTCCTCTTCCTCGTCTTTGAGCTCCAGGTATTCCAGGCTCACCTCCTCTTCGTCTTCCTCCTGAGAGTCTGACCCCTGCCTCCTAACTTCACCGTCCTCCACTAACTCATCGTCGTCCTCCTCTTCCTCCTCGTCCACCAGCAGCTCCTCTTCGTCCTCCTCTAAGACGTCTCTCTCCTCTTCGTACGACGAGACAGGTGAGTAGTGTGGGAGGTCGAAGACGTGGGGGCTGCTGGGAGTACCGGAGCTGCTGTGGGAAGGAGAGGCGGGAGGAGCGGCGATGGGTACCGGGATGGAAAACGAAGGAAAAGACTCTGATGAGTCGCCGCCGCCGATCTTCTTGATAATGCTGGTCCGGGTGAAACTCTTGGTGGCGATGGAGGCAGCGGAGGGGATGACGGCCATCCCCAGCCCCTGGGGGAGGGCTCTGGGTTCCGGCGCATACTCCCGGATCTCCCCCGGCTCCAGCGGGTCGGGCCCGCAGGGGTCGTGCTCGCTGCAGCAAAGCTTGCCGTCCAGTTTGGAGATGAAGAGCAGGCCGTCTCGGTGCTGGCGGCAGTAGGAGCTGGGACACAATTCACAGAAGGACGCCGCCTCCTTACCACATACGTCACACTGGTGCCACGGACATTCCCAACGACCTACACCAGACACACACACAAAGAAAAACATCAGTTAATCAAGCAGTACGCCAATGCCCCCCAGCATTGAGGTGTTTGGTGAATGTTTGTAGTTTTTGAGATGACTGTTTTCCAGACTGGAATTGAACAGGGAATGCTACCTTTGGTGCAAGATATTCAAAAGATTACAGCTTTGCTATAAAAACAGAAGTACTGTGTTTTTCATCCTATAAGTTGCGGTTGTTTTTCATAATTTGCATGCTCTGCGACTTATACGTGGAAGCGACGTATTTATGGATTTCTTTCCATATTTATAAACTAATTTTTGGCTGAGATATGACCGTTTTCATTCATTCTGACTGAAAATATTGAACACTACCATTTTCAGCCACCTGATGGCAGTCGAGTTGTATGGCATGCCGTTGTGTCATGTAATAGGTTAAAGTGGCTATTAATGACACAATCGGCTTGCCAGATATAGCCTGCCACCTTCGTTCTGCTCACTGCTTGGTGCAACCGTCATCAGCTTCATTTCGCTGAACCGCCCTGACAAAATGCAGCTAATTTGACCATTAAAGTGCATTTATTAAGCAAAAGTTAGACTGAGACACACCTTTACTATAATTTTGAGCAAACAAATAATTGTTCTTAAGTGTTAATCTTGTTAAAGTCCTCCCATTCACGCTCCCGCGGCTGCCATTTGTCAGCCAATCGATTTTTGGCACAACACTGGTCCAAATTTCCAGGTGTCAGCGGTGACGCATAACAAACGCGGCGCGTCAGCGGTGATGCATAATAGATGCAACGTATATGACGAAGTGACATCTTTATGAATTTTTCCACTTTATTAGACATATTTGGACTGATGCGACTCTAGGGCGGTGCGATGTGTACGGCGGAAAATACAGGTTTTTTGTTTTTTTTGCTTGACCCAGGTGGCACCAAGTAATGGATCCTGGCAAGCTGAGGGGGCAAGTGCAATGGTGGAGCCAGGGGGTGGTCAATGGGGGCTTTGGCCACCACAGATTAATCTTGGGCCACTTTGCGGAAACTGTACTTTTTAGCAATAATATTAACCAGAAAGCTTAGTTTCTTCAAATGATCAGGGTGGTTGGTTTACATAGATATTTGGCAGTGTCTATGTTGGATTTTGACATGGCAACCCAATTTTCAATAGCTTTTCAACAGCTGCACACCAAAATGAAAGTCAGAAAATTGCTTATTTTTTACCCAATTGTTTGAGGAAACTATAATATGAAAACTAGAAAACACAGTTTCCTCAAGTGATTGTGGTGGCAGGTTTACATATATATGGTGGTAGCCATCTTAAATTTTGACGTGGCAACCCAATTTTGGATATGGAACTTTCTTAAGCTGAGATGCAGTCACACAACAAAATGGAAGTCGGCATGCTGTTTATTTTTCAAGTTATCCTGCTTACAAGACGGGCGGGTGGATGGGGGTATTTCCAATTCCCCTCATCGCTCCGCAACAGGGACAAAAATCACCGAAAACAACAAACGTACGTCTGTTTGAGCAGATTTAACCAGAAGCCAGGGGTGTCTTTTTAATAAACTCCCCAAATCGTACTGCACATCAATCACACAAAAGCGCTCCTTATGACTGAAAACGTTCAAGTCAATGGAGCCTAGCTTGGGTTTATTACTGGATGTTTAGAAGACACAATTAAGGATTTTGGGCATATGTCTAATTCTTCAAGCCCTCACTTAGTGATATTTAAACTGTTGTGCCAACCACGCTGGGTCTTTTAGTGTTGGTGCAGTTTGCTTATTTATTTATTTATTGAGGTTTTTGCTCTGTTAAGTAATACTTTGGATGTTTTATGCTGATTAATAACCGTCAACGTGAGACTTGTTGGTTCGGTGGCTGACCTGCAGGCCTCTTGGTGAGGTTCAGGCAGTCTGCATGGTACACTTTGGGGCACCCGGGTTTCTTACAGGAGACCATCTGTCCTCCATCTCCACAGCTGAAACACTCGTCCTCCCTTTCTTTGGTTAACACCACCTTCTTCCTCCTCCTGCCGTGGCCTCTCCTCTTCAGCTTACGACCTTTGTCTTCAGATGGAGGATGGTTCTGTTTGGACACAAGAGGAACAGTTGGGGTGTTGTGTTTCAGGACAACGGCAGGACATCGGCTCGTGTTGCTCACCTTTGGCCTGACGCCCAGGAACCCGCTGCAGTTCGGAGCGCCACATTTACACACAGTCTTCCCGTTTCCCAAACACTCCAGGTTGTAGTTGAAGGTGAGTTCTGTGCCTGAAAAATAATAAAAGCTAAAACTAGCAAAACTGGTTCTAGAATTGCGCCGCTCAAGGTGGCTGCATGTTGGAGCAGCTCTGTTACTTTCATTCTGAGATTTTGCTTTTGGAAACTTTAATTCCTCTTTTTCTGGATGTAAATCACATTTTTTGGATGATTGTTTCCTCTGGTATCGGACGCTGTGCAGCTGGAAGGATTTTTACTGAAACTTTTTTTCGTTTTGGACATTTGTTATGATGCGTAACCATGGCAACAAGGCAGTTTCTACAACCAACAGCAGCTGATTAATATCTCAAAAGCTCAAGTAATATCTCAACTACAGCCCTAAATTTCAAATGAGTTGAAAAGGATGTTCTGTGGACGCATTCTCATCTACCTGCCAGCTGTGCTCGAGTGCCTGACCACTGAGATCCTGGAACTAGCAGGAAACACGGCTCATGACAGCGGAAGGACAGGATCGTCCATCAGCACCTACAGTTGGCTGTCCGCAGCGATGAGGATCTCAACAAGCTGCTGGGAGGAGTGGCCATTGCCCTGGGAGGATTTCTGCCCAACATTCAGGTGATCCTGAAGCCCAGGAGGCCAACCAAGTGCAAGTAAACGGATCAACATCTGTGGCCAGTTTTTTCAGATCTGCTATAAGACGGACCATCACAAGAGATCCTTCCCACCCACAACCATCAACATCTAGAACAACTCTTTTATGAAACAAGGAAAATGAGCTACAACAACATTTAATTTCCCTCTGGGATTAATAAAGTATTTTTGAATTGAATTGAAACAACAGCTAAGCTAATATTATCAAAACAGTAACTAACAGCTAAGAGTAGCAAAACAGTAACTAGTTAAAATTAACTAACAATAGTTAAAAGCTAAAACCAGCAAAACAGTAGCTAAAGTCGAGACCAGCAAAAGAGAAGCTAAGCTAAATTAGCAAAACAGTAAAAAAAAGCTAAGATCAGCAAAAGAGTAGTTAAAAGCTGAATCAATAGCTAAAGTTAAAATTAGATAACAATAGTTAAAAGCCAAAACTAGCATAATAGTAGCTAACAACTGAGACAAGAAAAATATTAGAAAAGCTAAAATAAGCCGAGCTGTAACCAATAGCCAATAGCTTCAGAACAGTAGCTAAGCTAGGAGCAGCAAAGCAATCAAAGCTGAAACAAGCAAAACAGTAGCTCCAGTTAGATTTAACTAACAATAGTTAAAAGCTAAAACCAGCAAAATAGAAGCTAAAGCCGAGACCAGCAAAAGAGTAGCTAAGCTAAATTAGTAAAACAGTAAAAAAAAAAGCTAAACAATAGCTAAAGTTAAAATTAGCTAACAATAGTTAAGTTAAAACCAGCATAATAGTAGCTAACAACTGAGACAAGCAAAATATTAGAAAAGCTAAAACAAGCCGAGCTGTAACTAATGGCCAATAGCATCAAAATAGTGGCTAAAAGCGGAAACAAGCAAAACAATAGCTAAATGTTTAAACTAGCAAAAGAGCAACTAAAAGCTAAATTTAGCGAAACAGTAGGTTAACTAAAAGCTAACAATTAGGTGAGTATGTTTGAGTAGATTTTCAAACAGCATGTTTTTCAAAGATTTTTGGTCTCTATACGTTTTAATGTTAAAAAAGTTAAATATTTCTAAATACACAAGCTATAAAAACCAAAAGCCCCAGCTGTTGTGTCCTGGACTATCTGAACAATTTGATTTCTGAATTATGAAAATAGCTGATAATTTGTTGACGTAGTTACGACCCAGAAATAACACACAGGAACTCAAATATTGCGAAAGCTCACTCAGATTTTACACGATTAACCGTTTTGAAAAATGAGAGCAGCGGACCTGCAGTGATGTCGACGAGAGCGAAGAGTCCCACCCGGGTGTCTCCGCTCACCGTCCACTTCTGCGTCTCACAGTTTGGCTGACAGCTGTGGTTCATGAAGCGAGCCTCGTTCCCCTTCGGCCCGGCGTCAATTATTCGATCCTAAAACACACACACACATTGTTTCCTTTCTTCTTCCCTCACACCCTTCAGGAGTCCAACGCGTCACAGAAAAGCCGGTACAATCTGTTGCTTTTGGGAGGTGCCGGCTGTAACGATGAACGCAGCTGCTCTACCTTGTTCAGAGTCAACATGTAGAAGTTACAGATGTCGTGCTCTTGCGCGTGTTTGATCCTCGACCTGCACTCCTCCTCATCAATCACCTCCCCAACGTACTCGGTCACAAAGTGCCCCTGAGAGGAACATGAAGGAAAACATTTAACAATGTCGGGAGCACCGTTGATTGACAACAAAACTAAGCTGACCTTCTTGATGTCGTGGACACAGCGGAGCCCCCATCCTCGAGAGAGAGTCCTGAAGATCTCCACCTGGCTGTACTGACGCTTAGTGAAGGTCTGGTTGAGGCAACGCTCGCCCGCTGGGCAAACCTACAAGTTCAGTCATTTTTTAAAATTTTTTCTGTCTAACAAAATAGTTGCATCCATTACGACTATAGTAGAAATCATGCTTGTCTGCCTAATTACAGAGGGGGAAACCATTTTTAAAAGAGAGAAACTGAAATATCTGTGCACCTGTGAAGCGTCTGAAACACTGCGTCAGTATGATGGAGGTGAGTCGGTACCTGAGGGTGACATTCGTACAACAACATGCGGTTGATGCACTCCGAGTCCATCCCACACGGACTCTCATCTGTCGCCTTGCAGTTGCAGCGTGGGATCTCTGACAGGTCCGCAGTGAAGATCTGGACTTTTCCTATTGGCCGATTCACCTGAATAAGTCAGACAGGTGTACATCAGTAAAAAAATAAAAATTAAACGAACATTTCTTGATGGAATGTATATTGCCTTGTAATTTGTTAGGACCAGTATACGATGTGGATGACTCTCAACTAGTTCCACACCAAATCTTGAGCTACATATTTGTAAAAATGTCCAAGTTATAGACATTTCTGTGTTTGTTAAGACTGAAAGGTGGCAGCCATCTTGAATCTTGTTAACTCAAAAGTTATTCAGTTGTAGATGTACGTCATCCAGTAATTAATTTTAAGAGTTTCAATCAATTTGTCCACTGGTTTATGAGCCAGACAAACAAATACACAACCACACACATATATATATATATACTGGCAGTTACATGATTACCCTTTTTTCAAGGTGATAAAAATTAATCATATCATATCAAGTGATTTCAACTTATAGTATGCTAATGCGCTAATGTTCAATTAGCATAAAATTTCTTATACGGTTCAACTAATATGATTTTTTTTTGGGGGGGGGGGACAGTTTATTTTATTTTATTTTTTTTTACATTTTTGAAGACTTGTCTACAATGATTAGTTCACAGAATGTCATTAAACATTACGTCACTTCATATCAAACTGTTAGCATAGTGTTAGCAAGCTAACAAAGATGAAACAAGCTGTGGTTTATGCTAACCAGCTACTAGTCATAACAACAACATGCTTTATAAAGCAAGTAAATAAATAAAATGCTATATGGGGATTCTTGCCTGAGGTCAGGCAGAAATCCCCATGGACTATGATGTTTGCAGATGAGTGTGATTGATTTGTGGTAAAAACAGGGAACAGGTGGAAGAGAACTTGGAGAGGTGGAGGTTGAACTTAAAAGGAATGAAAGTCAGCTGTAGGAAGAGGGCAGCAGGTGGAGCAGTGAGGCTACAAGGAGCAGAGGTACAAAGCTGCAGGACTTCAAGTATGTAAGGTCAACTGTCCAGGAAAACAAGGAGTGTGGTAAAGAGTCCAGGCAGGACGGAGAGGATGGAGAAAAGTTTCAGGAGTGACAAAAGGGTGGCAGCAAAGATCAAAGGAAAAGTTCACAAGACAATGGTGAAATCAGTGATGTTGTATGATTTAGATCAAATTTCACTCAAAAACATGGAAAAAAAAATCTGTCATCTCTCTGACCTTAATGTGTTTGTACGGTGGCGGCTTCCTGTCGTTCTTTTTGTCCTCCTGAAGCTGCCGTAGCTCCTTCTCCGCCTGCAGCTCACGAAATCGCACAGCTGCCTCTTCCAAAGCTGAAGAACATCATCAAAGAACACAAAGCAAATCAGCATAACAACCACATGAAACTGATTAAAAACGTTATTTCTAGAAACTGTGAACGCAGCCGTCTCACCTTTCCTGTAGGTCGCATCCACACCTTTCCCCATCTTTTCCTTGCTGTTAGCATCCACATCCATGTAAGGGAAGACCCTGGCCTGGTAGGTCCACAGGTAGTCGTTGGAGCCGAAGAAGTGAACGGGGAACTCGCCAACATCGTGCCTCATCCTCTGGATGTTGTCTGGGATGGTTTTGGGATGGCTAACCTCCGCAGGCCACCACCTTGAAAAAAACATTCGTTTTAAAAGTTTCATTTTTCTCCCACATATCCGGAACATACCAGACAGACGTAAAGTTTACACACTAAAAATAACTGATCACATGGCGACTTGTGTAGGAGTGAAGAAGTTTGCACCACTGGACCGTCTACAGTTTATTTGACATCGACTTACAAGGAAACCCTCAGGACGACCATGGTAAAAAACAAAATAAAATAAAAAGATTTAAAAAAAGCAAAGCTTCTGTGGTTTGTCTCTAACCTGTAGCGGCCAACCTTCACCCACAGGATGTCCTTGTAGCGAGGTTTCTTCCCGGCCTTGCAGTCGTTGCAGAACCAGCTGCCTTTCGGCATCTCGATGTTCAGACACTCGCGGTGAAACGCTGCCGGACACGACTCGCAGCAGAGGAGGCTTCCTCCTGCGGCACAGCAACACACCAACACGCACCACTTTCAGCATTTAATGAAAGCTACATTTCTTTACAATACACCACCAGTTAGCTAATTTTTCCATGTGTTAATTGTAATCCCATCTTTTTGTGCATCCCTTTAGTGGATGCTTCTTTGAACCCAAAATGCTATTGCACCTACTTTTTGAGATAATTTCCCATTTGATATTTGAGGATGTCCAAATCGCTTGGCAAAAACAACCAAAAACTGCATGTCTGCTCTTTAACGAAGCCGTTTTGAGACGAGTGAAGGGAACCGTAGAAAGCATCCAAATAAAAAACTTACCTGCTACCTCAGCTTAGGAATCTGTGCTCACAGTTTTACCCAGATTAATAATCAGTTCCGTCAGCTTAGTAAACCGTGCGGGCAGATTTGCAACACAGTGTGAACGTTCTCTGTTTATGTGCTCTTTTAGAGCTTTAAGAGTTTAGAAACATTGTTTAGTATATTGCAAGAGTGTGGGAAGG